CCACAGATGTAGTCAATCTGATTCCTGTGTGTTCCATCTGGTGAAGTCCACGTGTAGAGCTGCAGTTTGTGTTGTTGAAAAAAGGTGTTTGCAATGAACAAGTCATTGGTCTTGCAAAATTCTACCATGCGGGTTACAGCATTATTTCTATCACCAAGGCCAAATTTTCCAGCTACCAGTGATTTTTCTTTGTTTCCAACTTTTGCATTCCTGTCACCAGTGATAATTACCATATCCTGATTGCATGTTTGGTCAATTTCAGACTTTAGAAGTCGATAAAATTCTTCAATTTCCTCATCTTTGGCTTTGGTGGTTGGTGCATAAATCTGAGTAATAGTCGTATTAATGGGTCTTCCTTGTAGGCATATGGATATTATCCTATTACTGACAGCATTGTACTTCAGGACAGATCTTGAAACATCCTTTGTAATGATGAATGCCACGCCATTCCTCTTCAAACTGTAGGTAGATCACATGGTTGTCTGATTCAAAATGGCCAAAAGGAGTCCATTTCAGCTCACTAATCCTGAGGATATCAATCTTTATCCATTCCATTTCCTTTTTAACAACTTCCAATTTTCCTAGATTCATACTTTGTACATTCCATGTTCTGATGATTCATGGATGTCGGCAGCTGTTTCTCTTCAAATTGAGTGGTGCCACATCAGCAAATGGAGGTCTCAAAAGCTTTACCTTATCCGTAGTAGTAAGGCTGGGTTTACTGAGATGATGCAGCTCTTTCCCAGTCCTGTTTTGAGAGCCTTCTAACCTAACCGGACTATTCATAAAATTGCGTGGTAATGTATCAAACAGTGTTTCTTTGCTATTCATAAAGTTTTCACTGGCCAGTTCTTTGAGAAGTGGATGGCCTCTTCCTTCTTCCTAGTCTGTCTCAGTCTGTAAGCTGGGCTGATACATGTGCACCATGTTCATTCTACTGGGTTTGAAACACCAGTGGCTCAGCCTCAAAACTCACATAAACACATTAACATGGTAGGACAAACTGACAAACAAGTTTGTTTCCCAGTTGGAAACCTCTTGTACCACCCTTACCTGGGTCCCTGTGGCTGACTGTTCCTCTGTCCAGGTTCCTGGGCTTTTTAATCCCCTTTCTCCTACTCTCCCGCCCTGCTGCTTTATCCATGCCTGGGTTCCCTCTCCTCACCCGGATCCCTGCAGCTGACTGCTCCTCTGTCTGGGTTCCTGGCTTTTAATCCCCTTCTCCCATCCTGCTGCTTTGGGAGTGCCTGGGTTCTCTCCTCATCTGGATCCCTGTGGCTGACTGCTCCTCTCTCCTGGTTCCTGGCTTTTAATGCTCTTTCTCCCGGTCTCCTGTCCTGCTGCTTTGGGCATGCCTGGGTTCTCTCTCCTCACCTGGATCCCTGTGGCTGACTGCTCTCTGTCTGGATTCCTGGCTTTTAATCCTCTTTCTCCTGGTCTCCTGTCCTGCTGCTTTGGGTGTGCCTGAGTTTCTTCTCCTCAGCTGGATCCCTGTGGCTGACTGTTCTTCTGTCTGAGTTCCTGGCTTTTAATCCCCTTTATCCCACTCTATGATTCTGCTGCTTTGGGCGTGCCTGGGTTCTCTCTCCTTACCTGGACCCCTGCTGCTGATTGCTCCTCTGTCTGGGTTCCTGGCTTTTAATCCCCTTTCTCCCACTCTCCTGTCCTGTTGCTTTGGGCGTGCCTGAGTTCCCTCTCCTTACCTGGATCCTTGCAGCTCACTGCTCCTCTGTCCCAGTTCCTGGCTTTTAATCCCCTTTCTCCCATTCTCCCACCCTGCTCCTTTGGGAATTTTTTTGAATGTAAAAAGTAGTCAAGAAATCAGAGGACTTATTGCGCTGGGCAAATTTGCTGCAAAAGACCTTTTTAAAGTACTGAAGAGCAAAGATGTCTCTTTGAAGGCTAAGTTGTGGCTAACCCAAGCCATGGTATTTTCATTCACCTCATATCTGTGTGAAAGCTGAACAATGAATAAAGAAGAGTTGATGATTTTGAGTTGTGATGTTGGCAATGAATACTGAAAGTACCAAAACTGCCAAAAGAACTAACAAATCTGTCGTGGAAGTAGTGTGGCAGTAATACTATTTGGAAGCAAGAATGTCCAGATTTCATCTGACCTACTTTGGTCACATTGTTGTCAGAAGGGACCATTCTCTGAAGAAGGATATCATCCTTGGCAAAGTGGAGGATCAATGAAAAAGGGGAAGGCCCTCAAAGAGATGGCTTGACACTGTGGCTGCAATGATGAGTTCAAATATAGCAAATTTATGAGGCTGGCACAGGACTGGACAGTGTTTCATTCTGTTGTACATAGGGTCACTATGAGTCAGAGCCAACTCGATGGCACCTAACAACAACAACAGCAAGTACCATGGACTGCCAGAAGACCAACAAATCACCCCTGAAAGAAGTACAGCCAGAATGCTCCTTGGAAGTGAGAATGGCCAGACTTCATCTCACCTACTTTGGTCATGTTGTCAAAAGGAACAATTCCCTAGAGAAGATTTTCATGTTTGGTAAAGTGGAGGGTCAGCTAAAAAGAAGGAAGACCCTCAATGAAATGGGTTGACATAATGGCTGCAATGATGGGCTCAGGTGTAGCAAGGATTGTGAGGATGGCACACAACCAGACATTATTTTGTTCTTTTGTACATAGAGTCACTATGAGTTGGAGCCAACTCAACAGCATCTAACAACAATAACAACACCTTAAAGAGATGTATGTGTCAATCAAAAAAATTAATATAAAAAGTAACATCTGATTTAGGCTTAAGCAAAATTGCATATGTGTGTTTTGAAATATTAAGAATTTTAGAAATTATGTATTTAAAAATCAGTACTAGAGAGAAAATATTCTCAAATCACTCATCTGATAAATGATTTTTATCCATAATATACAAAGGACTCTTACAACTCAACAATAAAAAGTACTTTTTCCAATTATAACCTGGTCAAGTTATTTGAGTGGATATTTCACTAAAGAAGATATGGAAATGGCCAATAACCTCATGAAAAGACACTCAGAAGTGTCAGTTTAATTGGGAAATGCCAATTAAAACCACAGTGAGACAGTACTTCACACCTACTAGGATGACCATTAAAAAAAAAAAAAGGTGGGTAGTAACTAATCTAATGTGGACTGGCTGGTACTCCCATATATTGCTGATGTTGTTGTCATGTGTCATCCAGTCATCTCCAACTCATAGAGGTCTTATGTACAACAGAATGAAACACTATCCAATCCCATGCCAGCCTCACGATCCCTACTCTACCTGAGCCCATCGATGCAGCCACCGTCAGTCCATCTTGTTCATAAATTGCTGGTGGGATGTAAAATGGTACAGCTGGTAGGTAATGTGTTACCTTCTGTGTTTAACTCAAAGAGTTAACTATAGAACTGTTATGACACAACAATTCCACTTCTCTATATATATCCAAGAAAATTGAAAACATGCATCTACACAAAATCAAAATGTTGAATATCCATGCAGTTAAACAGTATTCAGCCAAAAAAGGTAATCAAGTCTTGATATACGCTCCAACAGGGCTTAGCCTTGGAACTCTAATGCACAGTGAAAGAAGGCAGACAGAGAGGGGCACATTTTGTGTGATGGCATTTATTTGAAGTGTTAAATGGGTAAATTCATGGAGACAGAAAGTAGATTGCCGGTTGCCAGGGACTGGGAAAAATTGTGAGTGACTGCAAAGGGGTATTATATTTCTTTTTGAGGTGATGAAAATGTTTTAGAATAAGATAGAGGTGATGGTTGCACAATTTTGAGAATGTACTAAAATTCATTGAATTGTGCATGCTAAAGGAATGAATTTTATATGTGAGTTGTATCTCCAATAAGCTACTCCAAAATTATGAAGGGGAATGATTAGGAAAAAAGAAAAATCTAAACATACTTCTTAAGGGTGCATTGTTCTAGAAATTACAGAATGAGAGTTGGTTGGGTATTGTTTTGTTTTTTTTTTTTTAAACTATGCTTTGATAATGGAGCTCTGGTGGCATTTGATTCCTAGCTGCTCTGTGACAAGAAGATGAGGTAATTTACACCCACAAATATTTTACAGCCTTGGAAACCCAAGGGGAGTCACTAGGCGCTCTGGTAGCATAATGCCTAAGGCACTTGACTACTACCCAGAAAGCTGGTGGTTCAAACCCACCAACCACTCCTCAGAAGGAAGATGGGGCAATCAAGTTCCATAGTAATACAGCCTCGGAAACCCAATGAGGGGTAGCTATGAGACGAGTCCGACTCAACAGCACATAACAGCAACAACAACAACATGAGTAATTGGGTCCAACGGTAGTGAGTTCGGCATTTTTTGTTTTTTTTTTTTTTTAATTTATGCTTTAATATATCTTGTTTTAATCATCAAAATGTGAGTTAAATGATGAAAAATTGTTAATTGCCACCATCTTCTGTGATATGTACACTATATTTTAAGACTAGCTTTAAATAATGTTATAATTCAATAGTGGACATAAAACTTAATCTCTTCTTAAATTCTCATAATGAAAATGTTCTGTTGTTTCTTTTTCCCCTTAGGCGTCTCAATAATAATGAATTCACGGTGTTGGAAGCCACTGGAATCTTCAAGAAGCTTCCTCAGTTGCGTAAAATGTAAGCCAAACATCAGCTAGCTTTTCAAGTATCTATCACATGTTGTTTTGTTTTTCTCTTCCCTTTCCTTAAGTTTTATTTAAGTTTCTTTAAAAATTGTAAAATATTTTAATATGCAGTAAAATATCCAAGCAATGACTGCCTGTAACATGAATTGATCATAATCTTTGAGAATAGTCTATGTAACCAGCTCTTTTCTATGTGTTCAAACGATGCCAACTGTATTTTCCATAACAGAGCATTCAAGTCTTATTTTAACTCAGACAGCTGGTCTGTTATGTGACCACAGCAGGAATCCAGCAATCTAAGCACATCAGAAGCAGGTTCAGTAATGTTTTGTAACTTCCTTAACTATTCCCCAAACCATGCTGTTATTTCTCTTGCAGCACATTCATGTCAACTATTTGACTTTTTGCTTCATTAAACTTTCATTAGAAAATAGTGAAAATTAATGATTGGAAAACTGGCTGCATAGCTCATCTGTGTTACAACATGTCCACAACTCATACTCTGAAATAAGTTTATATGCTCAGCAGTATCAAAAACAGTCAGTCATCTTCTCCTCTGAGACAGGGACAGGTCAGGAGGGTGTGAGCAATGGAGCCCACTCCACATAAGACATCAGGAGGAGGAAGGAAGCTCTCTGCCACTGCATTTGTGTTCACATATGTGTCTGGACCATGGTCACATAGACTGCACGTGGCAGAGCAGCCTGTACCTACTTCAATGCACTCAACCTCAATGGGTTTCTACTTGCTCAACTTCCCTCCCTTTAAACTGATATTCATTGCAATTTCGGAGTCCCTGGGTGATAAAACAGTTAATGTGCTTGACAGCTAACTGAAATTTGGGTGCTTTGAGTCTACACAGGTTCCTTGGAATAAAGGCCTAGTGATCTAGTTCTGAAAAATAAGCCATTGTGAACCCTATGAGCACAGTTCTACTCACACACATGGGGCCACCATGCATCAGAACTGACTCAACTGCATCTGGTTTTAACTGCATTTACTTTTTAACTACAAGGTGCCTTTCAAATCAATTGAATGGTTCCTGCATGAATGCCCTGTGAAGAATAAAGTGATACATAAAGATACTCCTTCTTTAAGGGTGCCCCTAAAGTTCGTGGAATGAGGACTGAATCAAGAAATAAGAGCCTACACAAAGGTGTTACCTCAACTGGACATTCCTGTCCTCTGCTCAGCCATCTCTAGCGTTTCATATCACACAAAATACTCAGAGTTTAGTTGGTGGTTTTGACACATTTTTGTATGAGACATGTAGTTGAAAATAAATCCATATTCAAATACATTTCTGATGCTATCCAACCACTAAGCCATGTTAGTCTCTCTTAGATTTCCCTACCCAATTGTCTTCTTTTAGTTATTAAGTCACAATCAGTTTTAGTCAGTAGCATTATTTGAAAAGTTTCTTGTTGAGTTTTATGGAGGACATAAAGGTTTGCAACCCACTTCCTGACCTCAAGGAATTTTTACTTTTGGGAACCTTTGCAGATCACATTGACATTGACCAGGCTAATATTTTTCACCACAGATATTCCCTCCTGGCTCTTTGGCTTGATAGAAAGGGGATGTTGTGTCTGTTCAGAGCCTCAGCAGTGCTGGGCAGTGAAGAGCTTGTGCAAGGCTTTGTTTAGAAGAAGAAAATTATGAAACCTGGAACCCATTCAGTTATTCAGTATCCTCATTGTTTAAAGTCTTTGTTTCCACAATTTTTGTTTAGAAACTTTAGCAACAATAAGATCACAGACATTGAAGAGGGAGTGTTTGAAGGTGCATCTGGCGTAAATGAAATACTTCTCACAAGTAATCGTTTGGAAAATGTTCAACATAAGATGTTCAAGGGATTGGAAAGCCTCAAAACTTTGTGAGTATTCTTATGCATTATGAATTTTCTATACAGAGATATCCATTTATTGGTCACTGTTTTAGTGACCTAGGTCTGCCATAACAAAATACCAGAAATGGATGCCTTTAGGGAACAGACATTCATAATGCCACCATTCTAGAGATTAGGAGTTAGAATTCAGAGTGTCAAGGACATGTCTTCTCTCTGGTCACTCCATGGGAAAATCCTTCCTTACCCCTTCCAGCTTCTCATATTCCTAAAGGTTTCTTGAGGTTCTATAGCTTGTAGGTCCATCTTCACATGGTTGTCTTCCCCCTTTATGTTTTTCTGTTTCCATTGTTACAAGAACATAATTGAGATGGGCTTAACACCCAACCTGTTCTGGTGTGACTTCATGTTTAACTGAACATGTAACATCTTCAGAGACCCTACTTCCAAAGAAAAAGGTCATGTTTACAGGTACCAAGGAGCTCTGGTGGCATAGTGGGTAAGCCATTATACTGCTAACCATTTCAAACCCACTAGCTTGTCTGTGGGAGGAAGATTAAGCAATCTACTTTTATAAAGATTTATAGCCTTGGAAACCCAGTGAGGGTCACTGTGAGTTGGATTCAACTCGATGGCAGTGGGTTTGTTTCTTGTTTTTTTTACAGGTACCAGGGGTTAAGACTTCAACATATCTTTTTTGAGGACACAGTTCAATTCATTATAGTCACCATAATCCAGGAGAGAAGGGACTGGGAAAAGCAAATCTCTCTGTCTCACTCTTCCCTCTCTGTCTCTGTCTCTTTCTCACTCTCCCTCTTTTTCACACACACACACACACACACACACTCCAGTTTTATGGATGGAAACAACATGTTACTCCAACACTTCTGACTTTAGTGTGTTGCATATGACCAGGAGAGCCCTTCCTGGCTGCCAACAGAAGAAATCACTGCCCTACTTCTCACCATAACATATTGTCCTTGCTTCAAGGCTTGTGGAGACCTGACTCCTCTCTCCTGACTCCAAATGGTACCATCTTTTATTTTCTTCAATGTATTTGCAGTGGAGAGAAGTCCATTGTTTCCTCTACACCCTTATTTCTGGCCCAGACAGGGACTGGTAGTCCAATTGCCTCATCTTTACCATATGCAAGGAGAGTGGGCATGGATTAATAGCATCCCAAATTCAAATTTGTCTGGGATCCATACACATAAAAGCCAAAGTATGTTCCTTGAACCCTAGCCTGGAAGACAGCCTGCAACCTGTGGGTCTTTCCACCCCAATGTGGGCTCATAACTTGGAGCCATTTTTAAAATGATGTGCAAATATTTTTTCACCCTTTCTGTGGAGGCGATCCTAAGGACTGGGCGGGGAGGAGGGGCGGCAGAGGAGACATACCGCAGGTGGCTGCTTCCCACACCCTCACACACATAGACACATATACACTCTTGCCTTCATTGCTCAGCAAAACAAACAAAAAAAATCTTGCAGCAAGCCAAAGCCTGTCTTGTTAGACTTGGTTGAAGGACTAGTGGCTATTATTGGGACCTGCCCCTTTGGCGGAGCAGAGAGGGATTGATGTAACCGCACCCAAGAAGCTTATCCAAGTAAATCTTCTGTCTGCTGCAGTCTCCCTGTGAGGAAGGCAGTGAATACAACTTGCTTCTTTCTTTATAGGTGCAGTGATGATATTTTGGGTCTTGTGCTTTAGACAGGGCCACTCTGGTTCTGTCCTCAATCCAGCTGTGCCATAGAAGCCTCAGAGAGCAATTTAGAGCTGAGCTCAAGGTACTCAAAATGTCCTTCAGTAGGTTTATCTGGACATCCCTGTGCCTCCAAGTGGTATCTTTCAGCTATGGAGGTTTTGATGGGACTTTGCCCACTCCCTCTAGATTTCTCAACCCTACACCCATAGACCTCTGAGTGATTGTTGTTGTTAATTGCTGGGGGTCACTTTGGATTCCTGGAGACCCCTCTGCATGCAGGGAAGAACTGCCCCGTATGGTTTTCTAGGCTATGCCCTTTTGGCAACAGATTGCCAGGCCTGTCTTGTGAAGCGCCTCTGGGTGGTACATGTATGTATTTCAGTGAGCCTGTGAACCCCCTGACATTGCAGGCAGAATTGGGGCATCTGTCTGCTTACAGAGTTTTCCAGCAACCTCTCCCAGGGGTCCTGACTCCAACAAGATAAGAGCTCTTCACTGTTAGGATAAAGGATAGTACTAATTAGGATACTTTTCTCTCGCTCATTTGCTTCCTGCTGAAAATGATAGCTTGTTAGGAGGCCATCATCCTTGCTTCTTGTCTGTGATGCAGTGGAATGCAAAAGGTGATACTTCATATTAAAATAGGGCAGTCTGAAATTTTAAAGAAACACTCTGTTGCCCACTTATTGTTACCACTTTTCCTTATGTACTGCAATCCTCTACTTGAAATGCTTGAAATGATCAGAAAGTTAAAGAAAACAAATGAACCCATCAGCAATTCTGAAAAAGACTTATGGCACCTAGTCATCTTAACTTGGGATTTTTAGCAACTTGTTTTTCCCTTTCTAAGCCTCACATGTAAACAGTCTAGCTGAGAATTGCGAATTGAGCCAAGACCTTAGCTGTAATGAGGGATTGACAACAGTGTTGACCTTTTAATAAAGATGATGAGAAAACATAGTGTTTTGGTTCTTTAATGCCTCTGTAACAGAAAATCCACAAATAGGTGGTTTGAACAGAGATTTATTCTCCTACAGTTTAGGAGGCTAGAAGTCTGAGTTAAAGTGGCAGCTCTAGGGGCTGGGTGAAGGCCCCTTGACCTTGGGCTTCAACTCTGCCTCTTGCTCCCAGCCCACTGAAGCTGGAGGCTTCTCTTAACTCAGGCAGCTGCTGGCTACTGAAACTGACAAACCCAAGGTCAACAAGTAAAATTACACAGTCTGAGAATTATCAAGCAACATGGCAGACTGCTAGTTCAAGTCCAGAAACAGTCTCAAGATCATCAGACGACACAGCAGGCCATGGAGGTGAAGACTTGGCCAAATGCAGGATACAGATGTACCAAAAAGCTGAAGACCTTTCCCAAACCCTTTTCTTATGTACTGGAAGCAGACAATATCCCTAAGGCAGCTACTCAGCTGCTCATAGCAGATTTCCACCATGGAGTTGATTACCAGTCTTATCATGGGGAATAACTACATCCAGCTGCCCAGCCACTTGAAAAAAGGCCCAGCCAAGTTGACACATAACCTTAACTACCCCACATGGTCAGAATTTCTTCAGGCTAAACCTAGGAGTATGGCAATCTACTTTTGGAAAGATTTACAGCCTTGGAAACTGGAAACCCAATGGTGGTCACTATGAGTAGGGATAGGCTTGATGGCAGTTTGGTTTTTTTTAATCTTCACTGGGGACAATTGGGAACTATTGCTATTGCGTCTATTTCTGATCTCATCTTGGGACAGCCACGTTTTAGAAATGAAATAGTTCATGCATACTTTGGAGATGTTTGGTCCAGTTTGGCTCCCTAGCCTGTGTGTATCATCTTGGCACGGATGTCCCTGAGATCCGTCAGTTCCTCCCTGCAGTGCTAGTAGTTCTTTCCTTTCTGTTCCACCTCTAATGTGATGCTACCAGAAATACACCAGTCACAGTGCCTTGAGGGCTCAGAGGGCTATAGGTGAAGTAGGACATTACTTAATTATGCAAACATGATTAGCATCAAAGGAACACATTCTGCCATAATCAGATCCAGTTCTGAGTCCATGCCGAGGCTCACTGTGCCTTTTGTCACTGAGATTAGTCATTGCTGACTCCAAGCGTTTGATTATTGCAGGGGGCTTTGGCTGCATATCCACAGCAATTCCAAATGGCAGGAGTATTCTGAAATGGTAATGAATGCTACAAATTTACAAAGAGAGATCATTGTTGTCCTCAGACAGGCAAAACTGATTGCTTGATATGATGCCTTATCTCCATCACGATGTCCCTTTTCTTCCCTCAGGATGTTGAGAAGTAATCGCATAAGCTGCATAGGGAATGACAGTTTCATCGGCCTCGGTTCTGTGCGCTTGCTCTCTCTGTATGACAATCAAATCACTACAGTTGCACCTGGAGCATTCGATACCCTCCATTCTCTGTCTACTCTGTAAGTAGGAAAAACAGTCTTCGTTTCGCTAGGACTTGAGCCCACGTATCCTATTTACTGCTTTTGTTAATAGCATTTGTGTGCTTTCTTGGGCACTTCATAAAAATGTGATCAAGAATTTAGGTATTAAAAACAAAAGGATAAATTTACTCATAGTAAACTCATTTTATTTTGCTGAAAAATTTTATCCACTGTATTATATGAAATTTTTTACCAAGAAATTATATTGTTTCTCAGAGTTATTTTTTTAATAACATAACCCAGTAACATGCCTTGATTTCTCAATTTTCATTGTATTATAACTTGACCAAGTCCAGAAAAAAAATGTGATAGATTCTTCCCCAGTGTTCTCACATTGGAATATTTTTAGTTTTAGTATAAATATCAATGAAGAGAGACTTGATAGGGTCATGATCACAAGCAGCTCAGAAGGGTTTTCCCAATGACCAAAGATGTTTTAGGTTTAACAGACCAACAGTGAAACCTGTTTCCTAGAGAACATTAGCCATGATATCAGGAAGGTATTGAAGCAATAAGTTGAACCTGTTCAGCAGGATGTTGTATGCATGAAAGCATAGCTGTAGACAGGGTATCAAAGGTCTGTTGAGGGAACTCAGAAGAGTTAAAAAATACTCCGAAGAATGTATTTCAGGCCTCTTGTAGGGCAGTAAGGATTTCTGGTGGTATAGTGGTTAAGACACTTGGCTGCTAACCAGAAGGTCGATGGTTAAAACCACCAGATGCTGTGCTGAAGAAAGATGAGGCGGTCTGCTTCCATAAAGATTTACAGCCTTGGAAACCCATTGGGAGGGGGGATGCGTAATGAGTCACAATCAACCTGATGGCAGTGAGTCGGGTTTGGTTTTGGTTTGCACGGAAGTATCTGGAAAACACACAGAACTCAGAGTTAAAAAAATAACAACCTCAAAGAACATATTCAAACCTCTTATATGGCAGCATCTAGGAAACAGTGTTTGAAATGATTAGTCTTTTAACTGGTTTCACTTCCCAGTAATGATAACATCCAAATACACTAACTGATTCAATGGGAAGGATAAAGGCAGTGGGGAAAGATAAAAAGCATGCTTAACATCGCTCCAGTCACCGAACAAATCATCTGAGGCAAGCATCCATCAATAAAGTACTTAATCCTCTTTCCACATAAAATGTGACACTTTCCATCTAGTGACTAATTTGTGCATATTAAAGATGGCATGTTTATAAATAATGGAATTGTCAATCGGTTTGTGCTGAAGTGGTAAGATGCCAGAAGTATTGAGATTTGCAGAAGTCAATTCATTTTTATAACTGGCATTTAATCAACTCTGCTGTCAGTTTAGATGGGAAACCTATTCTCTGGAGCAAATAAGAGATGGGAATCTAGCGATGACAAATTAATGGAATAGCTGTTGTCAGGTTAAACTCAATAATATAAGGTAATCAGCCTCCATCTTTATATTAAATTACTGCATTATCAATGCAGGGAAGTTTGACAGCAAGTCAGATCTCTGACAAGTTTAAATTATTTCTAAATGAGAGATATGTCAGGATACACCACATAAACTCTAAATTGCTGCCTTCACTTTATTTTCTTGCATGAAATTATTTGGAGAATTCTCTTACATGAAAGAGTGATTGTTATTGTTTAAGGCCAAAATATATAAATATTTTAGCTAAAAAACAACTCATTTGCTGTGTGTGACTCAGTATAAGTAGGGGATGGGAATATAGAAATAAGAAGAAAAGTAGTATGAAAAAATGATAGCATGGGGGTATGAGAAATAAAATAAAAAGAAACCCTAAGCTAAACTCTGCATTCTTTGCATGTGGCTTTTAGAAACCTCTTGGCCAATCCCTTTAATTGTAACTGCTACCTGGCATGGTTGGGAGAATGGCTTAGGAAGAAAAGAATTGTAACAGGAAATCCTCGATGTCAGAAACCATACTTCCTAAAAGAAATCCCCATCCAGGATGTTGCTATTCAAGACTTCACTTGTGATGATGGTAAGAAAAATCTAACAAATATTTGGTCACCAGGCGTTCCCATGGCAACTCCAGGGCTACTGTGTACATATGTATGCCCCATCATCATTCAGTCCAACAGACTATTGTCAAGGGTCTTTTCGTTTTGTGTTGTCTGGTTTTGTAGAAATAAGCCAGTTGCTTTCTCAGAATGCACTTTCCTGTCTTATCTTACTTGATTCCCATTTCTGAATGTTTTAGAAGTTTTTCAGTTTCTGACAATTGGTTCATGGTATCTGTGTAGCTTTACCATCACTTCCCTTTAGTATCATTGCATCTCTTTTAGTAACTGCTGTTGTTGTTGTTAGATGCTGTCGAGTTGGCCCTCGACTCCTGGCAACACCACACACAAGGGAACAAAATGTGGCATTGTTCCGTGCCATCCCTGTGACTGGTTAGGGAGTGGACTTTTGTGATCATTAGGGTTTTTAATCAGCTGGTTTTTGGAAGTGGATATCCAAGCCTTTCTGACTGGTCTGTTGTAGCGTGAAAGCTTTACTAAGACCTGTTCAGTATCATAACAATACACGAGCCTCCACTGACAGATGACTGGTGGCTGTATGTGAGATGTAATGACTGGAAATGGGACTCAGATCACCTCTCTAGTGACTAGATAGTGAGAATCCTACCACTAAACCAACACATCCCCCCTTCTGGCAACAATCATTTTTGAATGAGAAAAGCAATTGATTTATAAAATTAAGGATGTCTAATAATTCTAACAAAAGTAATAGTTCTCACTTTTTAATGCTTTCTATATATCATCACCAGAAATTATCTGTCAGTGTGCTGTATTATGGTGGGTTATCTGAAGGTAGGACACTAAAAGCTATGCCACACATATTTCAAATACCAGCAGTGTTACTCATGATAGACTTAGCTTCCACACTAAGACAAGGAAAAAATGTCTGGCTACCTACTTCAGAGTATTATTATTATTGTTTTTAGGTGCCATCAAGTCAGCTCTGACTAATATCGACCCTGTGTACAGCACAACAAAACAACCCCCAGTCCTGTGCAGCCTCACAATCCTTGCTATACCTGAGCCCACTGTTGCAGCCACTGTGTCAATCCATCTCATTGAGGGCCTTCCCTTATTTGATTGATCCGCCACTTTACCAAGCATGATACCCTTCTCCAGGGAATAGTTCCTTCTGGCAACATGAGCAAAGTAGTTGAGACGAAGACTGGCCATTCTCGCTGCCAAGGAGCATTCTGCCTGCACTTGTTCCAGCACTGATTTCTTTGTTCTTCTGGAGGTCCATGGTACTTTCAATATTCTTTACCAGCACCACAACTCAGAAGCATCAACTCTTCTTCAGTCTTCTTTATTCATTGTCCAACTTTCACATGAATATGAGGCTACTGAAAATGCCATGGCTTAGGTTGGGCACACCTTAGTCTTCAAAGACATATCTTTGCCCTTCAGCACTTTAAAGAGGTCTTTTGCAGCCAGTTTGCCCACTGAAATACATCACCTGATTTCAAGACTGCTGCTTCCACTGATATTGACTGTGGAACCAAGTAATGTGTAATGTTTGACAACTTCAATCTTTTCTCCATTTATTGTGATGCTGCATATTGGTCCAAACCCCCCAAAAAAAAAACAAACGCACTGCCATCAAGTCAATTCTGACTCATCACAACCCTCACTGGGTTTTGGAGGTAATGAGTCTTTACTGAAGTAGATTGCCCAGTCTTCTTTCCACAGAGTGGCTGGTGGGTTTGAACCTCCAACCTTCTGGTTAGCAGTCAGATGTCTTAGGCACTACACCACCAGCACTCCTTATTGGTCTAGTTGTGAGGATTTTTCTTTTCTTTGTGTTGAAGTATAATCCGCAGTACAGACTATAGTCTTTAATTTTCATCCCTAAATGCTGCAAGTCACCTTCACTTTCAACAAGCAAAATAGTGTTATCTGCATATTGCAGGTTGTTAATGAGTCTTCCTCCAATCGTGATGCCACGCTCTTCTTCATATAGTCCAACTTCTCAGATCTTTGCCCAGCATACAGATTGAATAATTATGGTGGAAGGATACAACCCTGATGCACTCCCTTTCCGATTTTAAACCATCTAATATATCCTTATTCTGTTCACACGACAGCCTCCTGGTCTGTGTACAGATTCCTCATGAGCACAATTAAGTATACTGAAATTCCCATTCTTTTCAATGTTATCCATAATTTGTTAAGATACACAAAATTGAATGCTTTTGCATAGTCAATAAAACACAAGTAAACATCTTCTGATATACTTTGCTTTCAGCCAAGATCCATCTGACAACAGCAATGATATCCCTCATTCCACATCCTCTTCTGAATCAAGCTTGCATTTCTGGAAGTTCTCTGTCAATATACTGCTGCAACTGTTTTTGAATTATCTTCAGCAAGATTTTACTTGTATATGATGTTAATGATGTTGTTTGATCATTTCCACATTCTGTGGGATCACCTTTTTTTCGAATGGGTACAAATATGGATCTCTTCCAGTGAGTTGGCCAGGAGCTGTCTTCCACATTTCTTCGCACAAAAAAGTGAGTGCCTCCAGCACGACATCCGTTTCTTGAAACATCTCAGTGGTTCTTCCATTAATTCCTGAAGCCTTGCTTCCTTCAGTGCAGCTTTGACTTCTTCCTTCAGTACCTTTGGTATTTGATCATGTGCCACCTCCTGAAATGGATGAACATCAATCAATTCTTTTTGGTACAATGACTCTGTGTATTCCTTCCATCTTCTTTTGATGGTTCCTGCATCATTCAGTATTTTGCCCATAGAATCTTTCAATATTGCAACTCAATGAGTGAATTTTTTCTTCAGTTCTTTCAGCTTGAGAAATGCCAAGCATGTTCTCCCCTTTTCTTTGCTCCTTCATTTTAATAATTGACTTTGTCTTCTCAAGCTGCTCTTTGAAATCTTCTGTTCAGCTCTTTTATCTTGTCATTTCTTCCATTTGCTTTAGCTACTACTCTCTGTACAAGGGCAAGTTTCAGTGTCTGTTCTGACATCCATTTCAGTCTTTTCTTCTTTTCCTGTCTTTTTAATGACCTTTTGTTTTCTTCATGGATGATATTCTTGATGTCATTCCACAATTCCTCTGGTTTTTTATTATTGGTGTCCAATATATCAAATCTATCCTTTAGATAGTCTCTAAATTCAGGAGGGATATTATCAAGGTCATATTTTGGCTCTTGGGGACTTGTTTAATTGCTTTTAGCTTCAACTCAAACTTGCATATGAGTAGTTGATGGTTTGCTCCACAGTCAGCACCTGGCCTTTTTTTGATGAAGATATTGAGCTTCTCCATCGCCTCTTGCCACAGATGTAGTTCATTTGATTCCTGTATACTCCATCTGGTGAAGCCAACGTGTACAGCCACTGTTTGTATTGTTGCAAAATGTATTGGCAATGAATAAGTTGTTGGTCTTGCAAATTATATCATGCGATCTCCTGCATTATTTCTATCACCAAGGCCGCATTTTCCACCTACCGGTGATTCTTCTTTGTTTCCACCTTTTGAATTCCAGTCACCAGTAAGAATCAACTCACCTTGATTGCATTTCAACTTCAGACTGCAGAAGTTAGAAAAATCTTCAATTTTGTTCTCTTTGGCTTTGGTGGTTGGTGTGCAAATTTGGATAATAATAGTATTAACTGGTCTTCCTTATAGGCATATAGATATTATCCTATCACTGACAGCATTGTACTTCAGGAAAGATCTTGAAACATTCTTTGTGACAATAAATGCCACAGCATTACTCTTCAATTTGTCATTCTCAGCATAGTAGATCATATGATTGTCTGATTCTAAATGGTGAAAAACAGTCCATTTTAGCTCACTGATGCCTAGGATATCAATCTTTATGCATTCCATTTCATTTTTAACAACTTCCAAATTTCTTGGAGTCATACTTTGTGCATTCCATGGTCCGATGATTAAAGGATGATTGAAGCTATTTCTTCTCATTTTGAGTCATGCTTCATCAGCAAATATAGATCCTGTAAGCTTTATTCCATTAATGTCATTAAGGTTGACTCTACTTTGAGGAGGCAGCTCTTCCCCAGTCTTATTTTGAGTGACTTCTGACCTGAGGGGCTCATCTTCTGGTGTTATATTGAACAATCTTTCAGGGCTATTCATAAAGTTTTCCAGTAATATATCACACAGTGTTTAACTGCTATTCATAAGGTTTTCACTGGCAAATTCTTTGAGAAGTGGATGGCCTCTTCCATCTTCCAAGTCTGTCTTAGTCTGGAAGCTCCACTGAAACCTGTGCACCATGGGTGATCCTGCTGGTACTTGAAATACTGGTGGCATAGCCTGCAGCCTCACAGCAACATGCAAGCCACTACAGTATGACAAACTGATAGATGAGTGGTGGCTTCCAAATATTAGCCAGTGATAACCCTATGGATCATAACAATATCGTCAGATACAGTGCTGGCAGGTGAGCCCCCCTAGTTTTGGAATGCACTACACAAAAGTTGCAACAATGTACTCAAATATACCAATGAAGATGGTGAAGGACCAGGCACCATTTTATTCTGTTGTACATAAGATCACTCTGAGTCAGACCCAATTCAAGATTCCTACTGACAATGTATCATCACATTTGATTCTCACTATTGCCTTTTAGGAGCTCTGGTAGCATAGTGGCTAAGACACTTGCCTGCTAACCAGACGGCTGGTGGTTCAAACCCACCAGCCGCTCCTCGGAAGGAATGTTGGGCAATCCTACTTCCGTAGTGATACTGCCTCGGAAACCCAAGGAAGGGTCGCTATGAGTCGGGTTTGACTCGAGGGCACATAACAACAACAACAACAACATTGCCTTCTAAGGAAGGAAGAGCAATTATTATTGGCAGTAAATGGAGAGATGATTTGAACCCTATCTTTAAATTAGTCTGATTGTTTTTGTCTCTTCTTGCCAGTGTCCTCATGATTTCTTCATAATTCAGTTTATTTTAATTACTACATTTATTCAGATTAAAAGTATCATTTATGCTTTTATATGATAATAATACATATAATTTAGTAATAAATAAGTGAACAAAGAAAATAACCATTATTTTTTGTGGTGACAATATAAATTATGAACTATTTTCTGAAATTTTGTCTTGGTAGTCATGAAACAGCGCTATATAAAATGTACAGTGTCCATTTGTAAGTACTTGATGCCTTGTACCTAAGTGATCAGGTGACTCAAGACTTTTGTTTATTAAGTTAAAATCCCTGCTAACATCTCTAAGGTCACAACTCTGTATTTTTCCTATATTTCCTTTGGCAATTTAGGAAATGATGACAACAGTTGTTCTCCACTTTCTCGCTGCCCTACGGAATGCACTTGCTTGGATACAGTAGTCCGATGTAGCAACAAGGGCTTGAAGGTCCTGCCGAAAGGTATCCCGAGAGACGTCACTGAGCTGTAAGTAAAGGTTGTCTTTCCCTTTCCACAGCACTTCATGTTTCACCCACCACGGAAAATAGAGATCATTGGTCAGATGTGTTACCTTGAGACTTGTCAGGTCACAAGGGAGATTTAGAACTAGGAGAAAACAGAGGAGAACAAATTATGGTTCCAACAGCCCAAAGTTTACCAGAGTTGCTCGTTTTCAATACTGGAGTGACAGTGGACAGTCCGTTTAGATGCACATAGTGCCTGTTGGCCTTAACCACTAAGTAACTGGTCATTTGAACTCATTCAGAGGCAGCTCATCAGCGAGGACTGGAGATGTGTTTCTGAAAGGTCATAGCCATGAGAACCCTGCGGAGCACAGTTCTACTCTAACACCAATGGGTATGGGGGCAACTGGTGTTGATACATGATTCCAAGTAGACAAAAAATAGACCAACTTCAAGTGACTTGCTTGGATGTATGGCAAGCACTTGGACATTAGTCATTAACATAGAGGTAAGTGAATAGAAAGGAGCGAGCATGCACCATTGTCTCTAGCAACTTATTCTCTGATTTTTCCAGTTCTGAAATATAGGGTGGGGCAGCCAGAGGGTTGTGGGCAGTGCCAAGGGTGTAGATGTGTGTATATTCTTGGCCAGGCAAGTTGTGGTTAAATGCTAGTTATGGAAATGTCACAGATGATTGGCTCCACATTCATTAGGAAAAGGACTGTGTTTCGAGTCCTTTTTAAGAGTAAAGAATATCCCATTTTCTTCAACATCCCACATATTTATTTATCTGGTTTTGTGAGATATTCTCCCAGGAGTCACAGTGGTAAAAAGAATCACCATGATTGAGCCCATCATTGCAGCCACTGTGTCAATCCATTTCATTGAGGGCATTCTCCATTTTTGGTGACCCTCTACTTTGCCAAGCATGATAGTCCTCGCCAGAGAATGATCCCTTCTGACAACATCACCAAAGTGGGTGACATAAAGTCTGGCCACTCTTGCTTCCGAGGAGCAATCCAGCTGCACTTTTTCAGGACAAGGCAAGGCAAGGCAACTATTGCCGTGAAGTCGGATCTGACCCATAGCGACCACTTCTTGGGTTTCTGAGGCAGTATCACTACAGAAGTAGATTGCCCAACCTTCTTCCTGGGGAGTGGCTGGTGGGTTTGAACCGCCAGCCTTCTGGTTAGCAGTCAAGTGACAGATTTGTCTAAATACCTTAGACATTGTAGATAAACTAAATACACACCATTTTCCACCATGCCTTCAAGGGAACATGAGTTTTTTGAGAGGCTCTGTGAGAAAAGGCCATATGGACAAATAAGCTTGGGAGAAACCTTATATTTTATAATTTCTTCTTAAGCTTTTATAGTGTGCCTTAGCATAATAAAGGTGCTGAGATACATTACAGGGAAAAATAAAGAAAGAAAAGATACACACACACACACACACACACACACACACCATTTCCCAAAGCGATCTGAATTAGCTTTTGTATTATTTGTTAAGGGTTATACATGACACTCATAAATGGCTCATAGAATGTAATTTGCAAACAGGATTCTAAAGATTTTTGTTTAGACAGATGACACTGAATTCTGATCTTATTCCCTGTGAATAAATGGTACACTTCAAAGGACCACGAATATCCACCTGAGTTACCCCTATTAGTTTATACATTTCATCTCTGTTCAGTGAGACATCAACACTGTCTGTATGCAGAGCACGATTCCTTCCCTATCATTAGTATTTATAAGACTCAGGGAAAGACAGTTTTCTTCTCTGTCCCCAGGAATTCTCTCTCACTCTGATCGTAGATGATTTCCAAAACTGTATCACATTGTGCTGCAATTACCAGTTTTGTTCTAGATCTCGCTACTCAGCTGTTGGTTCTTTCAGAACAGAAATGTATGTTTTGGCATTTTGTGGTCTCAGCACTTGGAATAGTGCTTAACATACAGTGTTGTCATTGTTAGGTGCCTTTGAGTTGGTTTTGACACATCGTGACCTTGTGTACCGTTCTCACCATTGTTGCCAAGCTTGAGCCCATCATTGCAGCCACTGTATCGGTCCATCTCGTTGAGGGTCTTCCCCTTTTCCTCTGACACCGTACCTTACCCAGAATGAATCCTTCTCTAGGGACTGGTCTTTTCTGACAACATGATCAAAGTGTGAGAGACGAAGTCTGGCCATTCTCACTTCTAAGGAGCATTCTGGCTGCACTTGCTCCAAAACAGATTCATTTGTTCTTCCAGTTGTCCATGGCACACTCAGTATTCTTCCCCAACATCACAATTCAGATGCATCAATCTTCCTTATTCACTGTCCCGTTCTCACATGCATATATGGTTACTGAAAATACCATGCCTTGGGTAAGGACACCTTAGTCTCTGAAGTGACATCTTTGCTCTTAAACATTTTAAAAGAGTCTTTGGCAGCAGATTTGCCCAATTCAATTTGTCTTTTCTTTTCATGACTGCTGCTTCTGTAGGCATTGATTGTGGATCTGAGTGAAATGAAATCTTTGACAACTTCCATCTTTTCTCCATTTAACATGATGTTGCTTATTGGTCCAGTTGTGAGGATTCCTGCTGTTCATAATTTTTTTTCCAGTGGCCATTTTTTTTCCCCCAGAAGTCGGCCTGGCCAAATGCTTCTTCCTAAAAAAAAAAAAAAAACTGGCAACCATCGAGTTGATTCTGACTCATAGTGACCCCCATTGGGTTTCTGTGGCTGTAAGTCTTTACAGAAGTAGATTGCCCCATCTT